TCATCAATCACCAAAAAGGGGGAGATTAAAAGCATCTAGGCCCCTAGTTGGGTTTTGGTGATTAATGATGACACAAGATTACTATGATTAACATGTGTTTTGTAGAGGCAATTTGAGTTAGGACATGGTAATAGCAATTGATTGGGCAATCATGGTTGTCATGCCCCTGTCGATGGAAATCGTTTCGGTCTTCAAAGGATGGATGATAAGATTAAGGACGGACTAGTTCTAAGTGTCGTTTGGTGATGGAGAGACACTTAGAGTAGTTTAGAATCTTGTTTTTCCTTTGGCCATATTATTAAGGGGGGTATGGACTAGTAGCTTAACCTAGGTAAGTCTAGCGGGTTAGGTGTGGTGTACACTTGTCAAACCTAGCACTAGGTAGCTTAGGAATAGCCCTAAGATCAATTGGAGTAAACTTCATTCATATAGGATTTCGAGTTGGAAGTGAATGGAGGGTCAAATGATTGACCGGACGCTGGAGGGTGAGTCCAGTCAGTTCATTTGATCAACTGCAGTCGTCTGGTACTGACCGAACGCTGAGTGAAAGTGGACCAGATGCTGGGTACCTGCGTCCGATCAACTCCAGAGAGGTTCTGGAGAGGTGTTTTCGTGATCGAACGTGTCCGATCGGTGCTAACCGGATGCTGGTCAGAATCCAGTAACTGACCGGATGCTGAATAATAAAGTGGCCGGACTCTTGGTGCCAGCGTCTAGTCAACATCAGTAAGGTTCCAGAGCGTGTTTTTCTTGACCGAACACGTCTAGTCAGTGCTGACCGGACGCTGGTCAGAGTTCGGGCAGAACTTAACGACTCTTTCTGACAAAGTGGTGGGTATAACTGACCGGAGCGTCTGGTCACCCCGTAGAACGCTGAATCAGCCTCCAACATTATGTTTTGAATGAGAGGGTATAAATACTTACTCCACTCATCCAAGGGAGGTCTCTTGCCCATTTGTTCAGCTGAGGAACACCTTGAGAGTGCAAGGGAGAGCAAGAGCCTAGTGAGGTGATTGAGATTTGAGAATCCAAAATTAAGGTCCTCATTAGTGCAGGAGAGTAGCAAGTGTGCATTCACCCTTTTCATTAGACTTGTCATGGTCAAGTGAGAGTTTGTGCTTGTTACTCTTGGTGATCGCCATCACCTAGACGGCTCGGTGGTGATTGGGAGTTTGGTGATCATCCGGCGGAGCTTGTGGATGACTCAACTTAAGTTGTGAGCGGTTGTGGACGATTCACCATGGTGGAGTGTCAAAGAATCAGCCCATAGAGAGCACTTGATCCTTGCGCAGATCAAGGGGGAGCTACACCCTTGCGCGGGTGCTCCAACGAGGACTAGTGGGGAGTGGCGACTCTCCGATACCTCAGGAAAATATCGCCGCGTTCTTTTCCCTCTCTTTACTTTGAGCATTTACATTTGTGCAATTCATTTCATGTGTTTAGATTCCTAGAATTGTCATGCTAGAGTAGGATTGGAACCTAGGGTGCAAAACTTTTGTGCGGTAGAACAATAGAAACACATTCTAGGCACAAGGGGTGAAGTGGGCTAAGTGTAGGGTTTAATTATTGCAAAGAATTTAGAATTAGCCCAATTCACCCTCCCTCTCGGACATCTTGATCCTTTCAAGCCACATGAGCATGCGGTGCATGAATTGGTTTTGTCATTCAAGCCAATTATGTGCAGGAGTTTCTATTCCTAAATGAGAGAGTTACAGGAGTTTCTGCTCCAAATGGCATGGCAGGAGTTACAGGAGTTTCTACCCCTAATGGCGAGAGTTACGGGAGTTTTTGCTCATGGTGATGGGAGTTTCTTCTGTTAGCGTCTCTTCCATTTCTGTGGATGGCTGTGCCCGCTCTGCTCCTTGACTACAAGATAAAAGCAAGACAATATTTAGTCTCTTGTCTCTCTTACGCGCTCTAGACATCCACGCTTCCACTGCAGCCAAGTCTTTCCGTCCCGGTTCCTACGAGCACGGGAATAGGGAGAGTAGGCATCCGAAACCGGCACTGTTCGTGAGTTCGTCTGCTCTGGTGAAGACTGGCAATCAGGTTTTTGGGGAGCGACTACGCGACTGCTCGATCGTACAAAAACCTCATCTTCTTCTTGGCGTTCGTGGCAGTAGTGGGAGATCGGCACCGCAACCTCTCTGCACTACATTGCCAGTCGCTATGTTGACTAGCGCAACCAGCTCTGGTGCCGCGGGGTATGTTGTAGTTCATCCCCTATTTTCAGCCATTAAAATCATAATAATGAGTATTGTCTATATGTTCTTGACACTTAGATCACACATGCACATGTTTGATGTCACCAACATTTTGATAATAATTTTATGGATTAAACTGGTACTGAAATTGCCTAAATTTCTAACAATAGAAAACTAAAAATTGATGAGTTCGGTTTTGATTTTTATATTTCGTTTTTTTAGTTTAACCGAGCAAAAATTATAGAAGGAAACATATTGTACACAGTACACGATTCAAGATCCACGGCAAGAGAGTTTGATGAAGTTACTTGCGCTGCCATCTCCTGTCCGAAGTCCACGTCCGCCATCTGCATCGCTCCGCCGCCGTCCTGCCGCCCGTCCCACGTCCATCCGGAGCGCGTGGTTGCCCCGCCGCGCCATTTCTGCCATTGCAACTGCCGCCATGACACTCTCTCCGTCTCTCGCCTCATTAGATTGGACGAAACGCTAATGGAACAACATACATACACAAACGATAAAAACATGGGGGTGGACACGTCGCCCGAATATGAAGAAAAAATATAGGTGCAAACATCAAAACAATTTTTATTTGCTGCTCAAAGAAAATCTGAAATTTTGCACATCTATAGTGCATACAAGTATATACTCGCATGCAAAACTTGGGATGCAAGCTCAATTTTTAAAGTTCCATAGGAAAATAAAAAATTTCAGGTTTATGTGCACTAAAAGGTAAAATTCTTGGGATTTTGTTTTACTAGCAAACATGACCGTACGTTGCAACGGGAGAAATAGAAAAACTATAAAGCGTTTAACTTGTTCGCTTTATCTTGTTGCACAGGTGCAGCGGCCGGAATAACTTAATTTCTGTAGGTGTTACTTTTGATGGTGTGAGTGGTTGCTGCAACAATCATAAACGCACGGGCTCGTTAATGGAAACAAGGATGACAATGTTACATATCAATTTACTCTTTATGTTTCTATATAATTAAAAGCTATTATTTATTTTATGATGATCATGATATCTATAATATAAATTAATATTGACAATATCCTATGAATTCTTGATTGAATAAAAACAACCTTGATATATTTTTTTCCATTGTAAAGAACAAAATATTTACTCGTAAAAGTATCATAACTTTAATTTATATACTGATTGTCCATGTGTTGGTAGAGTTAGATATCAAGTTACGTGACTTCTTTTAAGGATCCATAAAAATATGTAACTTTAATATTTAGTTGTCGTGTCTCTGTTTCCACATGTCAGCTCTTGTTGAAAGTTGCACTAGTATCCACAAAAAACTTGCTCTTTTATATATTTTATAGTGCACGCATCTAAAAATTATTTTGTATGATTTTTCGATAATGTTACAAATAGGACGTCCGACGCCAACGACTCCCTCCAGTCAGACGCGTGGCGTGACGTGCACCACAACTTTAACTCTCTCTTATTCTCATCTTGACACTGCTCGCTCACTCCGCTCAGCATTCTCCCCCACGCCTTGACCCTGCATCGCTCGCTCCTGCGCGTCGCACGCCCCACCTACGCCTCTCGCTCCTCTCCCCGCCTGTCGCGCACCCCACCCGTACCTCGCTTTGGCCATGCGTCGTGCCGCCCGCTCCCTCTCGTAGCACGTGCTGCCTGTCAGGCTGAGCCAAAGGACGATGTTGGTGGCGCTGGCTGGTGGTGGTGCTCACGCGCGCTGTTGGTGCTGGTGCTGGTGGTGCTCATGCGCCGTCGGCTCTGACCCCGATAGCTAAAATCGACCGGCCTAGGCTTTCGCTCCCCTATGTTGTAAATATATGTTTCAGGTGTTTCAGTCGTTTCAAAAATATGTTGCAGTTGTTTGTTGTGGATGTTGCAAAAGTAGATCGGGGATGTTACATGTGTTTCAGAAGCATATTGCAAGCATTTGTTTAAAATGTTTCATCTGTTCCAAACGTATGTTGCAAGCGTTTTGATCCGGATGTTTGCATATGTTTCACACATTTGTTGCAACATGTTCAGTTTCAGACGTATGTTAAGTGTTCTATCTAGATGTTGCATATGTTAGAATGCCTATGTTGCAAGTGTGTGTTCTAAATGTTTCATCTGTTTCAGTTGTATGTTGCAATTATTTCATCTAAGTGTTGCAAAAGTAGATCTCACTGTAGGGTTGTTTAGCAAGGAAGAGAGCTAGTGCGGGAGCCATGACGGCATCGGCTGTAAGGTCACCGGAGGACGTGCATGCATCCGTGCGGGCACATGCGGCCCGTTCCCGTATGACATGTTGCCTCGGCTGGCCCCGCTGGAGGTCCTGCAGCAGAAGATTGTAGCATCTCCTCGCGCAACGGAGATACATACCCTGGTTATGGAGATGACGCGGGCGTGACGAGGTTAGAGCATCTCCAAGAGTTTTCTATTTTTTCTCCTAAAAACTTGTAGTTTGGCAACTCCTAAAAAGATTTGGGGAGGAAAAAAGAAGGTCATCTCCAAGAGTTTCTAATAAATGGCATCTAAAAAATCAAATTTGGGGCCCACATGAACTATGTTGTGGCTTTTTTTCTTTTCCATCACGGGAAACTACAGGGTGCGCCGAACCCGGAGACCGCGAGCTCCCTGCCGCCGCCACCATCGTCCAGCCAGCCGCGACAACCACCCAGCCACCTGCCGCCTCCTTCCAGCCAGCTGCGTCCACCTTCCAACCGGCCACGCCCTCCTCCCAGTCGACCGACGCCACCTCCCAGCGGGCGTGACCATCTCCTAGCCAGCCACACCCGTCACAGCCTGCAGACTGCCTTGCAAGGTCGCGAGAATCAAGCTTCCCTCTCGTCATTTCTCCAGTTACCATGCATCTTGGGCCCCGTCGGCCCTTCCCCGACGAGCACCTTCTCCACTAGCTTGGCTAGCCGCTCCCTCACCGAACGCGGCAGGATCCTCGCGGCGTAGTTGATCTCACGCCCGATGTCATACACCTCCCGCGGTCCCCACTCGCGCTCAAACCCAAGCCACGCTAGCTCATTGACATCGAGGTACTCCGCTGACACCACTTCGCATCGCCCGGCGCCGGTGTCCAGCCTGCTCCCCCTGGCGCAGTCATTCTGGATCCCGATGCCTAGGCTCATGTTGCCTTGCAGCACTGTCCCGACGTTCGGGTAGAACGCGTGCCCGTGCTGCGATGCGTACACCACCGGCCTATTCCCACCGTCCCCGTCGAGGTACTCCAGCCGTGAAGCGTCCACCCAGGTGCCCGCGCTGTGCTGCGAGAAGTACATCCGGAGCAGCTCGCCGGAGAAGTTGCTCACGCGCAGCATCACGTGCTCCCAGTCACCGACATGCTCACCGATCTTGCCGAGCGGGATCGATGGGATGAGCCCGACTTTGGCGTGCGCTGGCCCGTTGAACAGGTAGAAGATCATCACTACGAGGTCGGTCACCATCCCACCGAGCATAGGTTTCGCCTGCACGTACACCTTCGCGCCGGTGAGGTCTCCCTTCTTGACCTTCTCCCTCTGGTTGCCGTCCATCGGTAGGTCGAGCCAGTACCCGCCGTCGTTGCCACCGCCCTTGAAAGGAACAAGATGCCCAAGAGGGGGGTGTGAATTGGACTAATTCTAAATTTCTTCACAATAAACAAGTCCTATGATTAGCCCAATTAACCCCTTGTGCCTAGAGAAGTGTTTCTATTGATCTAACGCACAAAAGTTTAGCAACCTAGTTCCAATCCTACTCTAGCATGGCAATTCTAGGAATGTAAATGACAAGAATTGAAATGCAAAAAGTAAATGCTCAAAGTAAAGAGAGGAGAGGAAACGCGGCGATGTTTTGCCGAGGTGTCGGAGAGTCGCCACTCCCACTAGTCCTCATTGGAGCACCCGCGCAAGGGTGTAGCTCCCCCTTGATCCGCGTAAGGATAAAGTGCTCTCTATGGGTTGATTCTTCGACCGCTCACAACTTGAGTTGGGTCATCCACAAGCTCTCCGGATGATCACCAAGCTCCCAATCACCACCATGCCGTCTAGGTGATGGCGATCAACAAGAGTAACAAGCACGAACTCTCACTTGACCACAACAAGCCTAGGGAGAAGGGTGGATGCACACTTTGCTACTCTTGATCTTCACTAATGAGGGCTCTCTTTGGATTCTCAAATCTCAATCACCTTACTAGGACCTTGCTCTTCTTGGCACTCTCTAAGGTGTGTTTCAGCTGTTGAAATGAGCAAAAGTCACTCCACACACGAGTGGAGCTTCTATTTATAACATGGGCTGAAAAACAAACCATTATGTGCCTCTACGGGGTGACCGGACGCTCCGGTCATGTTGACCGGACGCTCCGATCAATTCAACCCGCACACCAGTGTTTACGTGTTGACCGGACGCTGGCAGGGTCCGGTCAGCACTGACCGGACGCGTCCGGTCCCATTTTTTCCTCACTGGATGCTTACTGTACTCGACCGGATGCTAGATCCTCAAGGTCCGGTCAGCACTGACCGGACGCGTCCGATCGTAGATTCACTCTTCTGGAACCATACTAGAGTCGACCGGACACTGGTCTTCAGTGTCCGGTCACTCGACCACTCAGCGTCCGGTCACACCGAACATAGTCTCTTAATCAAATGAACTGACCGGACCCTGCGGCCAGCGTTCGGTCACACCGGAGCCAGCGTCCGGTCAGTATTTGACCCTCCATTCACTTCCAACTCTCGATCATATGTGAATGAAGTTTGCTCCATAGGATCATAGAGCTGTTGTGGAGCTACCAAGTGCTAGTTTCAACAAGTGTGCACCACACCTAACTCACTAGACTCATCTAGATCAAGCTACCCGTCCATACCCCCCTTAATAGTACGGCCAAAGGAAAAATAAAGTCCTAAACTACTCTAAGTGTCTCTCCAACTCCAATCGACACTTAGAACTAGTCATCCTTAACCTTGTCGTCCATCCTTTGAAAACCAAAATGATTTCCATCGTAGGGGCATGACCACCTTGATTGCCCAAATGATCTCCATTACCATGACCTAACTTAATTGCCTCTGCAAAACACACGTTAGTCATAGTAATCTTGTATTGTCATTAATCACCGAAACCCAACTAGGGGCCTAGATGCTTTCAATCTCCCCCTTTTTGGTGATTGATGACAATACCACCTCGAGTATGTGAAAGAGTGAGGTTTTTGATATGCTTGGTTCATATAAGCCTTTGTCAATAAGAACAAAAATATTAGGCAAGCTTATATGACCCAAGGCAACACGATGTACTCAAAGGATATGAAAAGAAGCATGAGTACAAATAATAAAGCTCATTTGCATCGGAGTATAAACACGGAAGCAAAAGCAAATGAGAATAACACAAGTGATATAACATATCAATGAATACAAAGTAGAGAGCACACATGTCATATATCACAATCACGTAGATATCACTATCACATAGATATAATAGTATGCATGAAAGTAAACACACGAATGCATAATAGTAATAGTGTATCACACAAATAAACTCCAAATGTATATAATAGACTAATAGCTAACTAGCTCCACCTAAATGACGCTCCCCCTGAGTCTACATACTCGAACCCTCTCCCCCTTTGGCGTCAAACACCAAAACCTACTGGCTGGTCGGCGGGGCTATAGCGAACGAGTCGGGCGCTGAAGTACGAGGAGCAAGCTGAAACTAGGCAGCATCATCATCTGACCCTGAGCTCTGTGCTGACTGACCCTCTGTGTCTGGAAGCGTCGCTGAAGCGGTCTGGGTCTGAGCTGGGGCAGGTGCTGCCTGTGATGCTGCTGGTATATCTGTCGTAGGATCTGAAGATGCGATAGAAGAAGGAAGCCTTTGAGTAGTCACAATGACAGGAGCTGCTGTAGAAGGACCTGGGGCATGCATATGTGGCGGTGTAGGCATCCCTGTCAACTCGCTAAAAGATGCTCCAAGACTCCTGGAGACTGACGTGTCAGGCACAAATAGCAAGGATGACTGATCTAGTGTGAAGCCCGTCTGAAGTGGTGTGAACTACGGAGCTACCACTGGCGAGGATAACCACTGGGACACCTGTACTAGGAGAGAAGCAAACTGAGCTAGAGGTTGTCCCTGACTTTGAAGCCCACTGGGTTGTACTGCTAGAGTCATCGTAATGGTGGCAGGCTGAGCAATCTGGGGCGAAGGCTGTGGCCGTGGGGCCCTAAGAGCTATCACTACATGCTGCATGAATCCCATAAGCTGCTGCTACATGAGTAACTGCTGCTGATGCATCTGCTCTGCTGTCGCTGAAACTCATCCTGACGAGCCTAAAACTGAGCAAAGTTGGCAGCAGTCTCCTAAGCCTGTCTAGCCTGATCCTGCTGCATCCGCTCAAGAATAGCAATCAAAGTGGGGTCTGTTTGTGGTGTAGGTGGAGCTGAGCTGGAACTGCCGGCCTCTGCATCGTGTCTGCGTGGAGGCATCTGAGGAATAGGAAGGTAGTCATCGTCTGAGCTATCACTAGGCTCGCTCACCTCATGCTGTGCCTCAAGCTGCTCCTCCTCAGTAGCGGCTATGCCTCTGATAATCTCGTCCTGCTGAGCTGCGGACTCTGGCACATCTGGACGACGGCGAGGCTGAGTGGGTGCCTATGGTGTGCTATGTCTGATCCTCTGTGCCATGTTATAAGCTGGAAACTCTGTGGTGGCACCTCTGTACTCTGCAACCATCTCTAATGTCCTAACTTGCACAGCCTTGAGCATAAGGAATGTGATCCAATGTGCATAAGGAAGCTGCCTGCGACCCTTGAAGCCCTCGGCTATCGTGTCCTCCATCTCAGACAGAAGAAGATCCTAAATATCGAACACTGTCTGCTGCATCAGGGCATTGAGGAGCCAAAGCTAAAGGCGAGTCAAGCCCTCTTTGTATCCCAGCCTGGGAAGTAGTGTCCTCCTAATGATAGCCCCTAGCACTCTAGCTATAGGAGTAAGGTCACTAGGGTTCCTCCTCGACCCCTCACCAAAGGGCTCATTGAAGCAATGACACACAAGATATGTAGGGGGCACCAAACCTCCATGAGGACACCTAGGAGGCTCTTGCAGTCCATAACATACCTCATGTAACTTGACAGGCTGCTCCTATAGCCTTAGTATCTCCCTGGCCCTCTGACTCATCATCCTGTAGTCTGTGCCTCTGAATGCAAAGTATATAAAGTTATGATGCGGGTCAACGTAGAGCAAGGCATAGAACTACCGAACCCAAGATGGTACATACAATCATGTCCGGCCAATCAGATCTGTCAGCCCCAACAAATATGATAAGTAGGGGCGAATATGCTCTCCGGCTATTGCCACAATAGCCTCAATACTATAGACTCTCTAAGATCAGAAGACTGCCCCACTATTCATATATGCATTATAGAAGTCTTCCTAGAGCGGTGTATAGAAAGCCTCTCCTGCTCTCTCATCCCTCCTAGGTGGAAACCATACATCAAACTCCACAAAGCAAAGCTGCCGAACCTGCTTGGCCGTGGTGGCCCTCAAGTCAAGATGTACCACTAGAGGTGGACCCTATGGTCTACGCGGTGGACGAGATCCCCTCCGCTGTGCTGGCAGCCTCGGTGAGACTAGAGCACGGGTACGACCAGAGCGGCGTAGCTGTGGCTGCAGTGCCTGCTCTGTCTCCTCGGCCTCCTCGGCCTACTGGCCCTCCTATGTCTCCTGAGTTGGCTGAGGCTCTGCTGGTGGGGGTTCCTGCTGTGACTCCCCCTGAGGCTGAGGCTCCTCAATAGCCAGACGACGTCCATCCATCATGACAGTCCTAGGTGGACTACCATGCAAACGCTCAGCCTCCTCAACTGCTGCCCTCTGTGCTGGTGTAAGCTGCTGATCTGCAATCACAACCCCACTACAAGCACCTCCTCTCTCAGCACGCTCTATGGCCTCTAGAACTGCTGCTGCACGAGCTGTCTCTACATCTGGGTACTTCCTCTTCTTGGATGCAATCTTCTTTGTCGCCTTGCCTTTTGGATCTGTAGGCAGGTGAGGTGGAGGCCTCTGATCATCATCTCCTAGACCACCCCCGACATTCTTCGTGCGAGCCATCTGATCTGACAAGAGAAACTGTCGTTGACAAGATCAACTGTCCACTGACACTTTCGAGGCTTGGCCTCGATCCGTAATCATGAGCTTGGCTCTGAGTTAACTGACAACTGCCACACGATCTCAACGGCACCGACTCGCTACACGATGGAATAAATGGATATACAAATAAATATGATATATCTAATAGATGCGAAACCCTATGAGAGCAAGCAATGTAGGTATGAAATTGAATTGACTGGCTTGCTACCTGACGAACCAGCGATCCAAAAAGAGAAGAGACGTCACGCGGGGAACCTTGGCACCGGCTAGGGTTAGGGTTCGCGATGAAACAATGGCCCTGGATGCAATTGAGGATAGAGCTTGATAATGCTGAGCAAGGTCACAGTCAATGGTGCAAAGGGTGCTAGGGCACAATGGAGTTAAGACAAAGCTTTACCGGTGCTTGACTTGAACTCGGCGAGATG